CAGCAGCAGCAGCCGCAGCCGCAGCAGCAGCAGCAGCAGTAGCAGCAGCAGCAGCAGCAGCACCAGCGGCCGCACCAGCAGCCCCCCCTACTGCCACTGCCCCCGGTTCCCCCCCCCGTTCGGGTCCCCGCGTCTCACCAGGTTGCTTCGTCCCCCCAGGTGTCTGTGTCGTGTCAGGTTCCTACGTCTGTTCCAGTCGCTGCGTCGTGCTCCTGCCGGTCGCTTGCCCACCCCACCGTTCTGTGGCACCACCGGATGGGGCACCCGTCCCTTCCTCGTCTGCGCGCTATGTCTAGTCAGCGTCTTGTCCTAGGCCTCCCACGTGTCTTGCCGTCGCTGCCGCCTTCGCTTGCGCCGCCGTGTCGTCCCTGCGTCGAGGGTAGGCTGCGCGCCACCCCTCACTCCTCCTCCCTTCGTCCGGCCACCGAGCCTTTTGAGACGCTTCACTTGGACGTCTGGGGCCCCGCCCCTCGTCTAGGCCCTGAGCGTGAGCGTTACTTTCTGGTGGTCGTTGACGACTTCTCCCGCTACACCACAGTGTTCCCTCTGGCGAAGAAGTCTGAGGTGACTTCTACGCTGATCAGGTGGTTGCTCACCACCGAGGACACTCGTGGTCGTCGTGTCAGCTGTCTCCACTCCGACCGTGGGGGTGAGTTTCGCTCTGGCATTCTCGCTGGATTCTGTCGCGAGCAGGGCATTCGTCAGTCCTGGACGCTTCCAGAGTCCCCACAGCAGAATGGGGTTGCTGAGCGCCGCATAGGCCTGGTCATGGAGATCGCCCGCACCTCCCTGACTCACGCCTGTGCCCCCCATTTTCTGTGGCCCTACGCGGTCAGGTACGCCGCGCACCAGCTGAACCTCTGGCCACGTGTCTCTCGACCAGAGGTTTCACCGACCAGTCTTTGGACAGGGTCCCCTGGTGTTGCGTCGCGGTTTCGTGTCTGGGGGTGCTTGGCTCTTGTCCGCGACACCTCCGCGGACAAGCTCTCGCCTCGTGCCGTCCCCAGTGTCTTCCTTGGTTTCCCTGAGGACTCCTCTGACTTCACCTTCTACCACCCTCCCTCTCACCGGTTCTTTGACTCCCGTGACGTCCGTTTCGAGGAGTCCACTCCGTACTACGTCAGGTACCCCAGTCGAGGTCTCCCGGTTCCTCCTCCCCCCCTCTTCCTGACTGCCGCTCCCCCTCCTGCTCCCCCGGTACAGCCTCCCCCCCCTGGCCCAGCCCCGTCAGGTGTGTCCCAGGCTACCCCTCCTCCTTCGGTAGCCCCTCCGGTACAGCCTCCCTCCCCACAGTCCTCCTCGCAGCGTGCCGCTGGTGCTAGCTCTCGAGAGGTTGGTGCTGCGCCTGTTCCTGTACCGGTTTCTGGTTCTGGGGGTGCTGGTGTTGGAGCTGGTGTTGGAGCTGTAGGTGGAGCTGGTGTTGGAGCAGGAGGTGGAGCTGGAGGAGGCACTGGAGTTTCTGGTTCTGGGGGTGCTGGAGTTGGAGCTGGAGTTTCTGGTTCTGGAGTTGGAGCTGACCCGGTGGGTGCAGAGGACTCTTGTCGTCCGGGAGCTGGTGCTGGTCGCGCGGACACTGGGGGTGAGAGTGCACCTCCTTCGGGTTCTGGTGAGCCTGGGTCTGGAGCTGGTGTTAGTGCTGCCTCTGGGGGTGGTGCGCCTGGTTCTTCGGGGGTGGACTCTGGAGCTACCGCTGCTTCGGACACTACTCCGCCCCCCCACCCCTACCCGACTAGGCACCAGGCTCGTGTTCGCCGTGCCCGTGACGAGCAGCTGGCGTTGGAGAGAGAGGAGAGGGAGTTACAGCGGCTGGAGGAGCAGCAGCAGCAGCTGGAGCCGCAGGAGCAGCAGCAGCAGCAGCAGCAGCTGGACCCGCAGGAGCAGCAGTCCCAGCAGCAGCCGCGTCCGCAGCAGCAGCAGTCGCAGCAGCAGCAGCAGCAGCCACTTCCTCCTCCTGTCTCGGGTCTTCGGGCCCTTGGTCTCCCCTCCCCTTCTCCTCCCTCCTCCGCCTCTCCTCCTGTCTACGGTCCCACGTTTCCTCCGCCTGACTCCTCCCCCGCTGTTTTCTCCAGTTCTCCGCCTTTGTCCTCTCCTCCTCCGTCTCGTTCTTGGGCTACTCGTCGCTCCCCTCGTGCTCGTCCCTCGTCTCCTGTTCCCTTCACTGACCTTTGTACTGCCTTACTTTGTTCTAGTCCACCTCGTCCGTCTCAGTCTGTGCTTCCGTCTCCTCCTGAGTCGGCCCTCACCGTGTCGCTCCCTGCTCCCGTCACTGACTACTACCGCACGTACCGTCCTGTTCTCTCTCGTGTTCTCGCCTCTCTTGTTACTCACCCTCGTGCCTCTGTGTCCTCTGTGTCCGCTCTTACTGCCGCAGTTACTGACTTTGCCTCTACGCGTCGCCTTGACTACGCCACCACGCTTGTGGCTGCTCCTCCTACCAGTCCTCTGGCCGTCGGGGGTGTGTCTGCCCTTGGCTGTGACGCCCTAGAGGACAGGCAGTTTGAGCTAGAGTTCCTGGCGGCCGCTTCCCCTCATCTCTGTGCCATGCTCCTCGCCCCTGAGGGTGACCCCGACGCCCTTGACATTCCGACTCCTCGCACTTACGCTGAGGCAGTGTCAGGGCCTTGGGCCTCTCAGTGGAGAGCTGCCATGGACGCAGAGATGGCCTCCTACAGATCCACAGGCACCTACGTCGATGAGGTTCCCCCCCCTGGGGCGAACGTAGTCGACGGCATGTGGATCTATAGGGTGAAGCGGCCACCGGGATCTCCCCCGGTCTTCAAGGCGCGCTACGTGGCTAGAGGTTTCAGTCAGCGCGAGGGAGTTGACTTCTTTCAGACCTTCGCACCTACCCCGAAGATGACCACTCTTCGGGTGTTACTACACGTAGCAGCACAGAGAGACTACGAGTTACACTCTCTCGACTTCTCCACTGCTTTCCTTCAGGGCAGCCTACACGAGGAGGTCTGGTTACGTCGTCCCTCGGCCTTCACTGGCACTTTCCCTCCTGGGACCCAGTGGAGGCTGAGGCGACCTGTTTACGGTCTTCGCTAGGCCCCTCGTGAGTGGCACGACACTCTGCGTTCTACCCTCTCTAACCTTGGGTTCCAGCCGTCTTCTGCCGACCCGTCGCTGTTCGTTCGTCGTGGCTCCATACCGTTCTTTGTCCTGGTCTACGTCGACGACCTCGTTTTCGCCACTCCGGACAGGGTTGCTTTGGCAGACGTGAAGTCCGAACTGCAGAAGAGACACACGTGCACTGATCTTGGTGAGCTGCGCCACTACCTTGGCCTGCAGATCACCAGGGACAGAGCCGCTCGCACCATTACACTCTCACAGTCACACATGGTGCAGCAGGTCCTTCAGCGGTTCGGGCTTCAGCACTCCACCGTACAGCGCACACCTCTCGCTGTTGACCACAGACTCACTGGTCCCTTTCCTGACGAGCCGTTTGAGCCTAGTGGTCCCTACGCAGAGCTTGTGGGTTGCCTCCTGTACCTGATGACTTGTACTCGCCCGGACCTCGCCTTCCCTCTCAGCATCCTTGCGCGCTTTGTTGCGCCAGGGAGACACCGTCCTGTTCACTGGACGGCAGCTGTGAGGGTGGCGAAGTACCTAGCGACTACATCAGGCGTGGGGCTAGTTCTTGGAGGGCAGCAGTCTGTCGTACTCACTGGTCACTGTGACTCCTCTTACGCTGACGACGCTGAGACTCACAGGTCTACTCAGGGGTACTGTTTCAGTCTGGGTTCTGGAGCTGTTTCCTGGCGTTCCACGCGCTCCTCTTCTGTCTCGACCTCTACAGCTGAGGCTGAGATTTACGCTGGTGCCATGGCGGCACAGGAGTTGCGGTGGTTGACCTTCTTGCTCGCCGACCTTGGTGAGCGGCCGAGCTCTGCACCGACCTTGTTTACTGACAACAAGGCGTCGATCCTCCTCTGTCGTGAGCCGCGACTGGAGAGCAGAGTGAAGCACATTCATGTCAGGTACTTTCTTCTGCGAGAGTTGCAGAGACGTGGACAGGCTCGCTTCGAGTTCGTGGAGTCCGAGGCCAACACTGCAGACATCTTCACCAAGGCGCTTCCGCCTTGTGACCACCAGAGGTGTTGTGTGCAGTTAGGCCTTGTTGACTCAGGTTCTAGTCATGTGTAGACTTGAGTTTATTGCCTGCTTCGTCTGTACACTTGCTATATATACTTGTGATCTCTTGGACTGGCCTTGTGGCCACTGTTGCTTGTGCTCAGAGTGTGTGGTGACGTTGTGATCCACCCTGAGCTTTGTTTTCTTTTGGACTGGTCTTGTGACCGTACTCTTTTTGATTTTGCTAGACACCCCTCACTTAGGCTATGGGGGTGTGTCAAATGTTGTAGCCTGTAGTGAGGTTTGTCTTAGGGGGTACAGAAGTTAGGGTTTGTTATATGTACCCCAACCAACATCAATGGAACCATTTATTCCTCATTCTGACAAGATCGTACCCCCACCGAGGACAATTGGGTTCCCCTGGAGAACGTTGAAAATCACCCCGTCGTCACCGCCTACCTGCGTAGCCGCAATTTCCGAGACATCCACGCGCTTTCATAAGGAGGACCTCCTTAGGAGGGGGGGTAGTGTAAGGAAATTCCCTTTTCCTTACTTCGCGTCCCTGCTCAACGCGTACATCACTGTAGCACCTCAGTCAGCACCGTTACCATTCGCGACCATCGCATAATTCATCATCCCGCCCTTTTCGCACATCGCATCCCGACCTCACGGCTCGGCTGGTAACCCGCGCTCCGGACCTACGCTTCGACACTTTCCCAACCTCAGTCCCAGGCTCGTCGCGCGACCATTACCGTTACCACTGTAGTTTCGCTATATAATGTTCGCTCATGCCTCACTCATTTGTGTTCTTGCTTCGATAGTGCAATTCTCGTTCGTCCACTCAATTGCACTCGTAACACAATCTCATGAATCATCCTCCTGCCAACTACAGCAGAGAGAGCAGCAAAGCAACTGCTTGATCGCTAGACCATTGATTGGCTTCTATGCCACTCCACGACCTCTCTGTATGGCAGTTCCCCTCCAAAGATGTCGAGGGCACTTCCTACAGTCACATCCACCGCTCCCCTTCCAGCTGCCTTCACAATCTCAAGGTCCTCAAGTGAGCGAACACCTCCTGCATAGGTCACCGGGATCTGCGAGGAACAGGGAAGCGGCACAAAAGAAACCAAGTGAGGAAGGGGACTTCGATGGACGCTTGAACATAGGACGGCAATGGTGGTAGTTAAAAAAATCGACGACCGTCACAAAAGAGGAACCAACATTTTCTGCAACTGGCTTACTGGTGAATATTTCCCAAGCAGAGACACCAGCTCTTCGTCAATGCCAAGCCTGCCAATGAGTAATGAGGAAAATACAGAGCAAAACCGGAAAGGTTAGAGTAAGGAACAGAACGACCAGAATAGGAAAATCTGCAACTTGTTTACCTTGGAACTATGTAGCGGAGCATTGATTTCTTCACACAACACACCAGCCCCATTCACACTGTGTTTTCCTCCACATCAGTTCTCCACTCACCCATGCCCTCCACACTCCCTTTTTGCCGAGCCCATCCACCCCATGCATGAGCAGTACACTGCCATGGGTTCACAGCATTCACGCCATGCAACACACCCATCCTCAACACAGTTACAATCCCACTTCATCCCCTACAGAGTGCAACCCCTCCTTCAACTCACTTCATCTCACTTCATCCCCCCACCACGCCTAAGAAGGGAGTTTTTGAGACGCCTAAGAACTCCCTTTCCCCACCACTCACTTCATGCCCTCCACATCCACTCCGTGCAAGAGGAGCTCATCGCAGCGGGCTCACAGCAACACTCCCATCCCTGCACAGTATACATGAACCAACTCCCCTCCACCCGCTCCCCATAAGCACTCACTTCATGCCCTCCACGTCCACGCCGTGCACGAGGAATTCATCGCAGCAGTCGGCCAGCCGCGCCAGCGACTCGCCGTCCACCACCAGCGATGTGAAGCGCTGCCAGCGGTCCGTCACCACGTAGTAGTGCTCGCCCTGCTCATGGGGAGTGTGGGAGCGTGTGTGTACTAGAGTGTGAGAGAGCGACATAGAAAAAGAGGCCACCAGCAATGTGAAGCGCTGCCAGGGGTCCGTCACCCCGTTGCAGTGCTCACCCTGTGGGCCGGGTGCGAGCGTTTTGATAGTGTTTGGGAGTTGTTGTTAGACCACGAATGTTTTGAACTCCTGCCAGCGGGACAATGCCTACCTCCTGTTAGTGTCTCTCCTGTGCGTGGGTTAAGGTGAGTGACAGCAAGTGTGAGAGATGGAAAAATCCACCAGCAATGTGAAGCGCTCCCAGAGGTGAGGATGGAGATGAAGGGAGGAAGAGGGCGAGAGGAAGAGGGCGGAAACAACGTGGGGGGTAACAAGGCTGTCAATGTGTGGAGGTTTGAGATAGAGGTGAGGATGGAGGTGAAGGGAGGTGGAGGGAGGTCGAGTAGGGTCGAAGGAGGTGGAGGGAGGTGGAGGAAGGTGGAGAGATGTGCAGCACAATACCTTTCCTCACCTTCTTTCTGCAGCTCAGGTCCAGCACCAGTCTCTCGGGTGCCACTGCATTCACCATCCTGCGCAGCCGCTCCTCATCCACCTTGCCATCTCGAAACACGTACTGCCACGCACGCAGAGAGGGATGGGTCCAATGACTGAATTATGAGGCGCCTCAAAAGTCTCTCGGGTGCCACTGCGTTCACCATCCTGCGCAGCCGCTTGTCGTCCACCTTGCCTTCTCGAAACACGTACTGCCGCCAGACACACAGAGAGAGAGAGAGAGAGAGAGAGAGAGAGAGAGAGAGAGAGAGAGAGAGAGAGAGAGAGAGAGAGAGAGAGAGAGAGAGAGAGAGAGAGAGAGAGAGAGACCGCGGCGCTAGGGAGCAACAGCAACGCCCTGCAGCCGTCTGCGGCACACTCGGTCACCATCCAAGACATGGAGGGACGACTGCCGCCGCTGGCGCTGCAATACCTCCGTGAGGAGCAAGAAACCACGTCCCAAGACCAGCTGCAGCGGGCCCTCTCTCAGGAAGTGCACGCGGCAAAGGCCGACACCCTGACAGAGGAATCACGCTCAATCAGGTCAGCCCCCGAGATGGGCCACACGCTCCGCCTCGTCAGCCTGAGAGGCGAGGGAGCGGGAGCATGGCTGCAAGCCCTACCCCTGACCCCAGACCTCTGCTTCTCACCAGGGCAATTCCGAACAGCCCTGGCCTTCCGCATGGGCATCCGACAGAACATACCTACCGCGAGGGAGTGTGGAGAGCTCGTGGCCGACTGCAGCCTACCCAACCACCTACTCCGCTGCAGCACAGGCCCGGACAGAACGCGCACACACAATCAGCTGGCCTTTGCCGTGGCAAAAATGGGGAGGGAGGCGCAGCTGGTGGTATACCTGGAGAATGCAATGTACTCACCACCGGATGACCCAAAGAAGGCCGATGTGATGGTGCGTGACCCAGACAGTGGAGAGACCTGGATCACAGACACGACTATCACCGACCCTGTGCTGCAGAACCGGGACCCCACAGCCCGCAAACCCCCAGGCTGGGCTGCAAGGGAGGCACAGAGGCGGAAGGAGAGGGACTACTACAGGCACACCGAACACGTGGTGTTCTGCGCCCTGGCCGTCGAGACATACGGGGCAAACGCGCCCCCCACGACAGCGTTCCTTAAGCTGCTGGCCACAGCAGCAGCTAGGAACCGCTTCAGGGCCAGCCCCTTGGCGAAATCGGCCAAGAAGATGGCCTGCCACTTCAGCCAGCGCTGGTCAGTGGCCCTCCAGCGCTCCCAGGCGAACGCCCTGCACACCAAGGCCAGGGCTGGGATTGAGGCAGCACACCCCCAGATGGCAGCGGACCCTTGGCCGCTGCACCTGGGGGACATCCTACACACGCTGGAGGGCTAGAGGGTCACTCAGGGGGGAGGGGAGGAGAAGAGGGGTGAGTTGATGGGCTTATGGGATAGAGGTTATCATGGATACAACTGCATGTCTGTACCCCTGCTGAATTAATACAACGGACCATTTGAGAGAGAGAGATGCGTGTGTTGTTGGGAACGATTCTTTGACAAGGTTCGCATTTAAATGCGATGAAGGGCCACACAGAGGGCGAAAACGGGAGACAGGTGGGGTAACCTTCGAGTGAAGTGCACTCTACAAGCTCGGAAAGATGTCGAAACACAAGGCTTGCAGAAGAGAGCCCGACTCTTTCCGAGGTGAGTGCAGCACGAAAAAAATCAAGAAGGGTTTGTTTATGAATGTGATGATGTGATGGCAGTGTGCTGCATGTCATGCTCTGTCACATCACAACCATGGCACGAGTCGTACGATACCAGTGATGATGCAATAGTGGCGTGATGATGCCTCACCAATGTGACAATGACGTTGCTGGCCCCTGTGTCCTTCAAGGTGCCTCAAAACAAGAGAACATTTTCGAGGTGCCTCATACCGTTGCGACAGAAAGAACCATACCGAGGTGACAACACCACACCGAGGTGACAACACCACACCGAGGTGACAACACCATACCGAGGTGACAACACCATACCGAGGTGACAACACCATACCGAGGTGACAACACCATACCGAGGTGACAACACCATACCGAGGTGACAACACCATACCGAGGTGACAACACCATACCGAGGTGACAACACCACACCGAGGTGACAACACCACACCGAGGTGACAACACCACACCGAGGTGACAACACCACACCGAGGTGACAACACCATACCGAGGTGACAACACCATACCGAGGTGACAACACCATACCGAGGTGAGAACACCATACCGAGGTGAGAACACCATACCGAGGTGACAGCACCATACCGAGGTGACAACACCACACTGAGGTGACAACACCATACCGAGGTGACGATGACGTGGCTGGCCCCTGCGTCCAGGTACATCTCAGCGTTCTCTGGAGTGATGCCTCCACCCACGTGCAGCCCACCTGGGTTTGAAAGACAGAGTATAAAATTTAGGAAGGACTAATGGGAGGGAGGGAGAGAAAGAAAGATGCATGGCGGATGTACACATCTGTCAGACGTTTTTTAAGGAAAGAAGTAGAGAGAGGAAGAGAGAGGAACCGATCCACAAGCCCTTGTGGTACCTGGGAAGGCGTTCAGCGCCCCAAGAGCTGCCTCCTGACTGGCTGGATCGGCCCCCAGCATGATGACGTGGCCTCCTGGCAGCGAATCAGCGGCGTACATGCTGGCATACTCTGCTGCACTGCGATCTGACTCAAAGTTGGTCACAGGCTCAAAAGAGGAGGAAGAAGAGGAGGCGGTGGCTGATGAGTCTTGGGAGGGCAGGTCGCGGAGTGTGGAGCCAACGATCTGCTTCACCTTGCCCTGCATGGTTTGAAGGTAGTGGAAAAGAAAGGGTTTCAGTGAGCATGGCACTTGGCGTTGCGAGCAATGTTGAAGATGATGCTGTGAAGGAGATCTTCAGGAGGGAAAGTGACAATCTCAATATACTTCTGGGCTATAATGAAGTTTTTTCTAGTTATTCATAGGCTGTTGTTATTTATGGCTGGACGAAACAGGAATGGCGCCACTTGATGATTGAATTACAGCATGGCATGGTATCTTCGTGTTCAGGGAATGACAATGTATGACATGGCATTCATCCCTCACGCCAGCGCGTGCGTCCCTTTTTGTGCATGTGTTTGAATGCCTTCTGCCACATGGATACCTTCTGAATGTCAATGACACATTCATACCTTGTGAATGTCAACTCCACATTCATACCTTGTGAATGTCGATACACGGCCGGAATTTAACAGCTGCAGCAATCATGGGGGGATCAAGGAGTGACGGAGAATATGTGAAAGAAACCGGAGAAGAAGAAACGCGATGGGAAGAGCGGGAATCAGAAGGACCTGGGACAGACTGACAGGCTCTCGAACATGATCGATTGAAGAAAACGTTGAAAATACAAGGAAGATGGAAGCTGGAAACAAGGAAAACTGGAAGGAAGAATGGAAGACACTGAGAGGGACTAGCGAGATAGCTTACTCTGTCTCGTGCTAGTAGCTTGGCTGTCTGAAGCACTGCAGCGGATAATATGGGATACCGAAGGTCGAACGGACAGTGAAGGTTGATGCATTGTGAGCGGAGCGGCTTTTAAGACGCTTCTGCTGGTGGCGGTTGCTATCGAAATGGCTGACGAACCCATGATGACCGCTCAAAGAGGCTACTTCGGCCAAATGTATAGTCGTCCTGACGCCTTTAGGACACTGATGCGCACTTATTCAGGACACGAATGCGCAGACCAAGGCTACATAAAATTAATCGTTAGGCGCACCAAATGGCGCGAGGTATTTGGAATTTATTCTAGAACCCTGAGCCTGGCCAGCCTAGATTCTGGTCCCTGCACATCTGCAGGGCGAACTTTATTCAAATGACGGTACAGATACACTCCTACGTACGGAATAGAAAACAAAATGCTTCAAGTTTCATTGAACCATCTTCCAGAAAAAAATATTGCTTGTTTCAAAATCCTTGCACAACCCTAATCCACTGTACAGTATGCCACCTTGTGTACACGTGTTTTGATTAGTGATTGGTGTAACATCAAGTACAAGATGAACGGATATGATAGTAGCACTTCCCCTGGTATGGTGCTGCATCCTGCATCTGCACTGACTTGCTCTTTCTCTAACAATCGCGGCGTCATTGCATCGACAGTGCAATGGCGATGGACGCAGGCTAAGGTCAGAATCATGATGTGCAGTAGGTGACTTCCAAGTTAGCTTGTGGTGGTGGAGCAATGGGCATGAGTCCAAACAGGTGATTCCTGGCTCGACTCAGAAGTGAGCTTGCGGAGGAGCAAGGGGGTGAGGCTTGAGGAGTCGCAGCATGACTTCATAGACAGCAAAGGTGATGGATGCCGAGGGCATGACTCGCAGCAGGTTGGGCAGAAAGCCCTTGTAGAAACCACGTGCGCCTTCGAGCCTGCGGAAGAGCAAGGGAGAAAGGCAAAACAGAGAACAAAATTTTGAAGCGTCTCAGTTGCCGCAGCAGGTCGGGCAGAAAGCTCTTGTGCAAATTTTTTGAAACCACGTGCACCCTCGAGCCTGGGGAAGACTAAGGGGAAATGCCAGAAAGAGGAGAGGAGTGAGAAGAGAAGCAACATAAGAGAGTGTATGGGGTGTTGCATAAGAGGGCACGACTTGCATCAGGATAAGCAAAATAAAACCAAAGCAGCAATTCACACCATATATACAGGATGGTGGAGAGAGGGTAGCATGGTGAGAAAGAACTGAAGTTAGTTTTCATCCAGCACCATGGCTCCTCATGAGAGCATGCATGCTAGTTCCTGATCACATGTGCAGCTACTGTTGAGGCGCTTCAAAGGCAAGGCCCCTGGCCAACTGTCAGTTCCTGATCACATGTGTAGATAGAGGGTTTCTGCAACTCACCTCCACATGCTGGTGACGGCATGCCGTGTGTTGCGGTACTTGAGCTGGCCGGCCTCGTCTGGACGCATCTGGATTTACAGGGTCATTGTGGAAATCGGGTATTTAAGTGCTTGGGATGGGAGTAGTGTGAGAAAGTTAACCCCAAGCTGTCGGACCAAAGGAGGGAAGCATTTGACCAGGACCTTGAGGATGGTACGAAGTTGGGAGAATGTGCACCAGAAAAGTGCAAGAAAAATGTGAGATGCGATTCAAGGAGGAATATGACATAGCAAAAGGCATGGCCAAGCCGATTGTTGTGGGAGGGGTTGGGAGAGTTGGAAAGTAGGCAATGGTGGAGAAGAGGACGAGAATGGAGGCTGGGGTACAATGTGAGGGATGCGAATGGGGGAGGGAGGGAAAGGGGAGACACGAAGTGAAGGGAGCAAGGAAGCGAAGGAAAACCAGGAGAAGAATCGGGGTTTTCAGGGTTTCAGAAGTATGGAGAATGGGAAACACAGCGTGGAGAGTGGGGAGGGGGAAGAAGGGCAGAAGGATAGTACCTGCAGTCGAGCTCGAACCACCTGGTGTGGGTGAGAGGGGCCAAGCAGGGAGGGAGGTATGGAGAAGCAGGGAGCGATGGGCGAGCAGGGAAGCATGGAGAAGGAGGTGGACCGTAGACAAGACGCCAGGTACAGCAGGCGAGGGGGGGAACAAAAGGCAGCAGGCACACACACGCACTACATTTGGAACAAAAGAGATTTGAGTGAATTTGAAAGAGGATCCTGGCCTGTCACACAAAAGGGGAGGCAAAGGCAGAGGAGGTTTGGGCATGTTGGCTGGTGAACTTCACAGTAGATCTAGGATGACTCATGACCTACCCAGAAGAAGTATCCAGCTTGACAAGTCCGCGGGTGCCATACCTGGTGGTAGGGGCAATGAGAGTCAATGGGTGCTGTACCTGGTAGGGGTAGGTGGCAGAGGCAGCACACAGCTTGGCAGTTGCTCCCACTGCAGCTATGTCCCATGGGGACTATGGGGGAGAGGGAGAGGTGAACGGGGTAGGTAAAGGGAACGATTCGGGGGGGAAAGAGAGATGGGTTGGGTTGGGTGCAGTGGAGGACAGTTGAAGGGCAACACAGGACTGGGAGGTGCAGCAAGATAATGTGATTCTTTTTATTTTCTTTTTTTTCCTCATGATGGCATGGGTTGTAACAACTGATTTTGCACTGTTTGCAGGGTAGTGATGGATGGCTTCCATAAACGTTTTGCGCAGTAAGATGAAAGCACTGACCAGCTCTGTTACAGCAGGAAGAGAGGAGGAGGAGGGATGTGAGTCAACGTGTGGTGGAGAGGGTGTACGTGGTGCCCATGCTGTGGGTGATCGCAGAGCCAGCATGAGCTGCTTCAGCTCCTCATACGCCGCCATCTGAATGGCCCCATGCGACACCTGCATAAACGCAGATGAAAGTGCGGTGCAGAAGGGTATAGGGGGATACATGGGTGTGGTTGGGAGGGTGGGTGTGCTGTCCACGCTGTGGGAGATCTGAGAGCCAGCATGAGCTGCTTCAGCTCCTCATACGCCGCCATCTGAATGGCACCGTGCGACACCTGAAACAATGTGGATCACAGAGCGGTGCAGAGGGGTACAGGGGAGTATATGCATGGGTAGATGGTAGCAAGGGGTATAGAGAGATGGGGGCCTGTCAGATAAACGCGTACAAGGCAGTACCAACCGAAGTTAAGGAATTCTGTATCTATCTACAGGGCATAAAATCAAGTACACATGACAGCCTGGCAGGTAGAGGATAACATGACATAAAGTACCAGAAATGAGGTTCTCGCCTAAGGAATGCAAAGGTAAGGCTCGGGCCTACACTTTACCAATACAAGGCTCGGGCCTAAGCCTTACCAAGACAAGGCTCGGGCAAAGCTTTTACCAGGAAGGATAGGCTCAGGCCTGAGCCTTACCATGATGAAGCACAGGCGCATGCCTTACCAAGACCAGGCTTGGACCGATGCCTCTGTACAGCCCTCTAACGCCCTCCTCCTTCACTATTGACCAGATGGCGTCTGGTGAGAGGACGATGGGGAGATCACAGGAGAGAACGGGAGAGAATGGGAGAGAATGGGAGAGAAAGGGAGAAAAGAAGAGACAAAGGGAGACAGGGAGTCTTGTGTGGAAGGAAAGAGGAAAGTGGGCCACATGACCGAGTATGGCTGTGGTGGAGATGGGAGAAAGGGAAATGGTGAGGCTTGGGTTTATGCCTCTGTAGGGTACTCTCTTGCCCTCTTTCACCCTTGATGCATGAGCAGATGACAGGTGGAGAATGAAGGGGGAGAGAGCTAGAATGAAGGGAGAGAGAGCTAGAATGACGGTGGAGAATGAAGGGGGAGAGAGCTAGAATGAAGGGAGAGAGAGCTAGAATGACGGTGGAGAATGAAGGGGGAGAGAGCTAGAAACGTGAGGCGTCCTTCAGATTATTACAGACCCTTCTCATTATGCAAAAAGGATCCGAGAGTATGGAAGAAGGGGTCAGATTTGAAGGGCGGAAGTATGAAAAAGGGATCAAAAAGCTGAATGAAACAAAGGAAGCGTGCGTGGATGATGCTGAGGAGGAAAAAATTTACAGCAATAATGAAGACTCGACAGAACGAACTGTTGTCACTAAAACGAGGGCGGGAGGAGGAGGGGAGAGGAGAAGAGTGTGTGAGTGAGTGTGAACGACGATGGATAGTGAGGGCGACCGAGCAAGGGAACGATGGGAGAGTGGGGAAATATCTGAGAAGCAGAAAGGGCAGTGTGACACCAATAGGCATCATCAAAGAGAGCGACGCAACAAGGGGGGGAGGGGAGGAGGGGGGGGAGAGGAAGGGAAAGGCCGGGGCGGGGAGGTGTTTAGGGGGGGGCGGGGTGGGGAGGGAGGGAGGGTACAGAACAAGAAGTGAAATAGAAGAGAGCAGGGAGGAGGGCGTGTCACCATGAAGCACCATGAAAGCCTCGGTATTGCCGGGGGCGAAGGGGTACGGCTGGTGCTGTCGGCCTTGATGCTGCTGCACCTGGTGGTGAGGGTGGTTGTGTGCCAGCAGCACTGGTCGAACTGGCAGCACTGGCGGGTGCAGCATGGTGTGGTGGTCCCTTGGGATGCACGGCTCCCTGCAGCTGTAGACGCGTCTTGGCGAGCCAGATGGGGTTGGTCAGGAGGACCACCTACTCAGGAGGGGAGAAAGGGAGAGGAGTGGTAAGCTATGACAGCAGTGGCAGCACTGGGGGCCGCTGCATGGTGTGGTGGTCCCTTGGGATCCATAGCCCCCTGCAGCTGCAGGCGCGTCTTGGCGAGCCAGATAGGGTTGGTGAGAAGCACGACCTGTTAAGGAGGGGAGAAAGGGTGAGGGGTGGGGTAGAGGGGCGAAAGGGGGAGCGATGCAGGGAGACAAAGGTTGAGTGTGCGCAAGGTTGGAACTCGAGAGGCATGAGCAATAAGAAACGGATCGTATGGCGATGGAGGGAAACGATAGCCTGTTTCTGATTCATGCTTGTGATATAGGCATCACTACACTCTTGTCTGGGATGACAGGTGCTGTAGGAATATGAGAAGAAGCATCTTAAAGCACAACCCGAGATACATATCACACAACATGAACTCAATCAAACTGCGAGAAAAGCAAGACAAGCCCAGGAAACGCATACCAAAATGCCAGTCTCAGTGGCAGCAGCCAAATTCACCAATGTTGAGCTCCAGCTCTTAGTGTTGTTGCAGGGTGTTTTTGAGAATTGTCAAAAACATCAGGAAACGCATACCAGAATGCCAGTCTCAGTGGCAGCGGCCAGATTCACCAATGTTGAGCTCCGGCTCTTATCACTCCTCTCCACCTCCACCCCTCCACTGCTCTTGCTGCTTTCGTTGCTGCGTGACTCTATCTCGTCTCCTACAACTGCTCCTTGTTCTCTGCCATCACTCCTCCCCTTATCCCCACCGCCCGTGTGCACTGCATCAGTCCGACTCCCACCACCAGGAGGAGAGCCACTCCTTCGAGCCCCCACTCCAACAGCAGCAGCATCTGATTCCAAACTGGCTCTACCGACTTGTTCCCCTCCAGTAGCCCCCCCTTGGATCGACAATTCTCCTTCTCCTGAAGCACCATGAGCGACAGTGGTGGAGCTTGAAGTTGAACCCTCACTTAATCTGTCCTCCCCGCAATTGCGGCTACCGCCACTGCCATCACGAGCAGCACCAGGAGCAGCAATGGTGGAGGCGCCAACTCGTTCTGAAAGCCTTTCCATTGAAACGACCGGGCTGCTCTGCTCTGTGCTTGGCCGATGGCTGCTGCCGCTGCTGCTGCCACTGCCATTGTGGCTCCTGGCACACTTGCTGCTACTGCTTCCACATCGTCTGTCACTGTTGCTGCTAACGGTGCTCGTCAGAGCACTAAAGTAAGCCGTGTACCGCTCTTTGGCATGGCTGTACCTGTACAACAATGAAGGAGTGGAGAACAGAGGAAATTTTGAGGCGCCTCAAACATCCTCTTTGGCATGGCTGTACCTGTACAACAATGGGGTGAAGAACAGAGGAAATCATTTGGAGTTAAACGAAGAAAGGTGGTGGGGGGTACACAGCAGGGGTAAGGAATCGGAGTGGTGAGGAGGAGCAAGAGAGAAGAAAGGGAGGGGTCGGAAGCAGCAAGCGGGGAAGCTGGAAAGCATCAGGTGGGGGGAAACGCCAATGGAAAGAAAGAAATAATAAAGGAACAATGTTAGGAAGAGTGGCGAGACATTGGAAGGGGAAGAAGGCAACAGAGTAGGTCGAGGCATAAACGCCAAGCACTGACAGGAAGAAGTAGAGAGCCCAGGAGAGAGAGGAGCCGACCATGGATGGGTATAGGCCCGCATACAGGCCTCGTATGCCCTGATGGGGAGGTGTAGGTGAGGGGAATGGACGGGAAGGGAGGGAGAAGAGTTTTTGCCTAAACCCTAAATCAGGTCCTTCAGAACTGAACTTCGGATGCATAAAGCGCGGCAGAGATCACGTGTGTAGCATGTAAGTTCGAATGTATACACCGGATCTAGAGATAGTGGTGATGGCACTGATGACACATGCAGGAGGGAACATCATGAAATTCAAATCAAATCTATACCTCGGATCTAGAGATGGTGGTGATGGCACTGACGACGCCACGATAGCGAGGAATTGCGGGATCCCTCCCGTCATTCACTGCACGGCGGGACGCGCGGGGACGGGAGGGGGTGATGGGAGGACATAGGCGGGAGACAAGAGAGAGAGGAATGAGGGAAGTGGGAGGATAAATGACGGTGAGAGAGCTAGTAGGGTGTGGTGTAGGACGTTGATTACTAACCTTGAAACCTGGTTCGCACGATGTCAAGGGGGTGGAGAATGGCGACGGTCGCCATGCCTGCAACAGCTCCTGCGATGGCCTCGGGACGATTCCACGTCTTTCGACGGCCATTCCCGGCAGGCCGCGGTGCTTGCGATCCGTCATTTGCTTCTTCCGAACCCACTTCTGTCATCGCTCCAGTAGCTAGCTTCGAAAGTTTCGATATCTGAGGCGCCTCAAAAATCTTCTGTCATCAGCCGAGTAGGTCGCATCGAAGATTGCCGCGTATTACTTGCGCACTCGTCCAGCCTCGGGATGGTATTTAATCAATCGCGCTCATCGGACTCATCGCATCCACGAAGCCTCGCAACGCCCCCCTCGCTAGTACCTGTAATTACAGGGTCTGTTCACCATTTCCTGTCAGAATGTCTGGCGTTTTATTGTTGTGCGGAGATTGGTACGGTGAATCGTGACTGGATGGATAGACACATGCGACCATTGGGAGATTATTTGTCCTGGACGCCGATGGCTTACAATCGGTATCCCAGGAGGAGACGTGGTTATGGCTTGTCCCTTCAAAAAGCTTCTCTACTCCGTAAAGCTCCGTGTCGCAAACTAGGTGGGGTATGTACAGGAAAAAGGACCACGTGGGGTATGTAAAGGAAAAAGGACCACGTGGGGTATGTAAAGGAAAAAGGACCACGTGGGGTATGTAAAGGAAAAAGGACCACGTGGGGTATGTAAAGGAAAAAGGACCAGGCGGGGTTTGAGCCCGCGAATCAGTCAGAGAGATTGGTTGGATTGTGCTACTGGTCCTGAAATCGTTATGAACATTTATTATTAAATCATATACATTTTGGGTCCCGAACAAACTAAGGGCGTGTTGAAAGTGTGAAGATCGAAGGATCGGGGCTTTGAACCGATTGTCTATACCGAGCGCGACTGTAGATCCTGAGCTCGGTGTTGGCCCCTCGACAAAAACGAACCGCCAAAACAGTCACAGCATGTGTACCACGATCGCCAGAGTACAGTAGCACTTCTGATATTGCGACAAGGCGAGTTTCGCGGGTTACAGCACTACAACGTTGGTCAACAATGTCGACAAAAACCCGTTCCTCTTCGCGAGATGTGTTTTGCGAACTGTGCTTATCGCAATTTCGTGCACTGGTCAATCTCATGATCGGTCGTCAGTGCGGAGCCGATCGAGCGGGCTCCCTCCAGCTATCACAGTTGTGCACAGTGGTTGTACTGTAGCTTGGTCAATTGACGCTACAGTAGCGCGACTAGGGCGGGATCGGTTTAGGGAGGGGATCGATCGCTTACTTTCAACACGCCCTAAGCCATGTCACCTTGCAGATGTTTTCGAGGACTTTGGCAGTCCAATGCCGAAGGATGGAATACTTCTCGCTCATTTTTTGTAAGTCAACGGCGCGCTATGTGCTCTATGGGTTCTCAATTGATGCGCTCAAGGAACCCGCAGACTCGAAAGGAAGGCGGTCGCTACCACGTATGCTGCGATCGTGTCGCCCAACATGTTCAATGGCAGATGCACTGAATTCCACAGGGTTAATTTGTTTCGGTGCGCTTCATTCATAAAAAAATGGTCGTCAAGGCGTTTCACGAAGAAGGTGTTTGCAGCTTCAATCTGGCAGTGTTGTCCACGTCTCCTCACCGTGGTTTATTCTGTGGTTGAGAATTCATGGTAGTCTGCAAAGGCCACGGACAAAAGCCAGAAGCTTCGTGATTCCCTGTTTGACACACGGAATGAGCCTAACGGCTAGTGGTCGGTCCACACCATAAATTGAACGGATCCAGCAAACTTGCAATGACGCGAGATGGCTTCAGCAATGCAACGACTGAACCACATCGTTTCGTGCCTCCTGTGGCCAGCCACACGCTTGTGGTCCCTTGGGGCTCGTCAGATCGCCGACATCAGAGCTAATCCGCAGCTGGTCTCTTTGGCAGTCAAATCCGGGCTCGCAGCTACACTAGCCGCTGTGGTTTGCGTTCTTGAGGATCCCATTCCAGACCTGACAGAGATTGGAATATGGGCTGTGGTAACTGTGGACCTGGTGTTCGAGCCCACAGTCGGATCTTCACTAGGGTAATGGAAGGACACCCTCAGTTCTCCCTTTTCTGGCGGGTCTTCACTCCGACTGATAACGTTTTCTGGGCTGTGCAGCAAAGGCATCAACAGAACGGCTGGTACCCTTTTGGCAGCAGTTCTCGCATTTGGTGTCAACCATGCAACGCCTCACCTTGGGGATGTGAAGCCTCTTTTTCTGGCCATACTTGTGTTTCTGGGTAGTGTCGTTCCGACCTACTACAGATATCGGCCGCCGTTCAAGGATACGTAAGGCCTTATTCTTGGTCAAATTGGATATCTGTTGTGAGCCAGTGATCTGACGAAGGTTTTGTGCAGGTGGAGTTATTCCTTTCTCATGATGTCTCTCACCTTCCACATTTTGATACTATCTGGTTACCGCCATGAGGAGAAATTCTATTACCCCTTGGCACGGTTGGTGATGATCATGCTGGGATTCACAAGTGTTGGACTGGTTCACATCTTCATTCAGCCGGCATATTCTGGAGACCTTCTGCACAATCTCCTTGTTAGTAGACTGAAATTAGTTGCAGCCGAGCTGGACAGGTATGAGCTGTTGTTTTCCTGCTTCGACTAACTCATTTTATATAAGCTAACGCAATCCTCATCTCAGGTGTGGGAATTACTGCGTTCTGGAACACAGTTCTACAGACAACGTGATGAAAGTTTGCAGCAACATCCTTTTTTCCCAAGCTGAAGTAGACAAGCATGTAAGTAACCATAATCTCCAGCAAGCTATCTGTCTACACAGTCTGGGGAGTTCTTACTATCGTTTTTGCTTTTCAGCTATCAGCTATCCAGTTTGAACCACCGCATGGAAGGTTTTTTCATAAGTATCCCTGGAAGACATATGGTCAAGTTTTGACCAGTCTTCAGAATTTTAATCTCACCGTAATTACCATGGAATCAAGTATGCATGCTGCTGTTCACGGAAATACCTCTCTGAGGCAGGATTTGGGAACGGAGATGAAGGATTTGCTGCATGAGTGTTCAAGGTACGTCCATGCAAGAATCTATAAGGCACAGTAATGATCAGCACTTTTCATTGTAACACCTTAATTATTACTGTATTACTTTACAGGGTTGTGATGATGCTAGCTGCGTCCATGGAGAAATTCATTTGGGAAGGAAGACCACCACTGGTTCTTCTGCACTCCCAGAATGACTTTTTGAAAGAGAAAGCTCTACACAGCTTGCAGCAGTTAGTACATCCCAAGTCAGCAGCGGAAGTTGAAAGTGCATCTGACTTCTCATGCTCTTGCTCAGACATAAGCGCTATGAGCCCAACTGCATGGTTTACAGATTTTAAGTTGATGGACAGTTTACTCTCCCCACGCTTTGATACTCGCAGGTAAGTAGCGCACTTGTCCTGTCTATTCTATACTCTCCTGTTCAGCCCAATTCTCATCAGTGGCCGTTATTACCTCTTCTCCCTCACTCCCTTTTACCGTATCCCAGGATTCCTCATTTGACTAACATCCTATCTTGCTGTTTCGTTCCCTCCCAGCATTTCTCTCATGTGCCAATCATCCCTTTTCCCCCACCATCCCATTCTCAGTCAAACTACCGTAAAAGGGCTTGCCATCTCTGGTGTTAACTTATTTGAGTTTTTTCCCTGACTTGTGCAGGAAATATCTGCTGCAGACCAGTCAATCGCACTGCTCCTTTCCGACGGTAGCAGCAAGTGCTTTAGCCTTCAACAAGACCTCTGCTCCGACTGCTCTCCCTTTACTGCGGGCCCTGTTAAATATGCTTGAAGTTCTTCCCAATCTACTCAGCTTGGTTGATGCTGTGGAGAACATGGCTATTGGTTGTAGATTTAGTATGTCTGACAAGAACGATCATGCATTTGTTGACATTTGATGGATGGTAGATCAGACTACAAACACTAGCTCAACCTGTTTATGGTACTGGAGCAGATTATTGCACTACGAACTCTTTAGCCTTTTATTTTAAAAAAAACATGGGCGTGTGGAAGTCAAATGGCTATTTTATAATGTTAGGCTACAGTGAGATAGCTTCTAGCTAGAGGATACAACCCATTTAGGGACTTAATTGTACCCCAACCCTCGTATGGTAGTTCATTCATTCTTTTCTCTTGGTATAGAGCGGGATGTCAATTTCATGGGCCCACCGCCCCGCACCCAGTATCGCCTAGCCCGTCGCCCTGTGGCCCGTAGTTCGTATGCAGTCGCACTCCGCACCCCGCTCGCGCCCCACAGCCAGTCGTCGTCCGCTGTCCTGTAGCCCACCAATCCTTTTAACTAAATAGTCGAAATGATTTCTCCTTAAACTTTTCAGACACCTCAAAACATACGGTAGGAAAAAGAAGCTTGTGCTTTCTACCATGATAGACATGCTCTAAAACAAAACCGGTAACCAACATGCGTCACAAGGATTTGTGGTAGCTACGATTGGGAAAAGGTTGTGTTTGTTGGGCTGAGACGCCCTAGGATCTTTGTAGAGTTAAAGCCCGCATGCAAAATAGTGACCCCCCCCTTCTAGTTGGGTCCACTTGATATACTGATTCAGAGGTTTTGTTTGTAGGGTGTAATGTGTTGCAGTTTTTCTTTTTTTCTAGATACTGAACCATCTTTTCGATTTTGATCGAGGAATCTGGTCGCAGGGTGGGGCAAATGTGTCGTAAGGGGTGCCAAAATCACGTTCATGGCACATTCACATTCGTGCCACATTCACATTCGTTCCACATTCAAATTTCCAGTTCTACGTCGTGGGAATTCCACATGCAGAGACAAACACTTGCATCGGTAGCGCCTGAGCCTTCTGCAAAAAGCGAGAGCTGTAGGAATGGGTTTGGGGGTGTGAATTATGCAGAGAAAAACAAACAGGAGAAGGTGATAAACAAAGTGAGTCAAGGAGTCGGAAGAGGAGAGTGAGAGGCCGACGGAAACACGGACGCGAGGGGAGAGGGAGAGAACAAGGGGCCAAAGGTTACTGGTTGGGTGATGGGAGGGGCATTGGGGAGGGGAGGGCACGAGGGCGACGGTACGGGACGGGAGGTGCGAGCGCGAAGGCGACGGGACGGGACGGGAGAACACGAGGGCAACAGGAAGGGACGGGAGGTGCGAGCGAGAAGGCGATGAGAGACGAGAACGTGAGCACGAGGGAGATGGGAGGGGAGACCATGAGCGCGAAGGTGGTGCGAAGATGGGAGAACGTGAGCGGGATGGCGGGGGAAGGGGAGAACGTGAGCGCAATGGCGGGGGAAGGGGAGAACGTGAGCGCGATGGCGGGGGAAGGGGAGAACGTGAGCGCGATGGCGGGGGAAGGGGAGAACGTGAGCGCGATGGCGGGGGAAGGGGAAAACGTGAGCGCGATGGCGGGGGAAGGGGAGAACGTGAGCGCGATGGCGGGGGAAGGGGGGAACGTGAGCGCGATGGCGGGGGAAGGGGAGAACGTGAGCGCGATGGCGGGGGAAGGGGAGAACGTGAGCGCGATGGCAGGGGAAGGGGAGAACGTGAGCGCAATGGCGGGGGAAGGGGAGAACGTGAGCGCGATGGTGGGGGAAGGGGAGAACGTGAGCGCGATGGCGGGGGAAGGTGACAAGCACAAGCGCGGTGGCAGCTTGTGAAGGTTCTGCAAAGAGCGAGAGAGGTTAGGATTATTTGCTGCGTATGAAGACTTTGGGCCTGAGAGAGGGCGGCAAAATCGCTGAGAAAACCAAAAGGAGGGAAAAAACAGAGAGAAACAATGTGAGGGAAGAGGAGAGAGAGGGCGACAGAAACAATGAGGGCTACTGGACAAGAGCCCGGTTCGAGGGCGAGATGAGAGGGGAACACGAGGGCGACGGGATGGGAGTGGAGAGATGATAGGCAACGGGAGGGCGGCTCAGAGCGAGCGCAAAGGCGACGAAGTGGGTAATGGGAGGGGAGTGAAGAAGGGAGCCGCGAGGGCGTTTCAAGGCCAGCGGCAGGGCGATGGGCGAGGAGAGTCGACTGTGCGCAACAAGAGGGCATTGCGGGCTTAGGGCGACGACGATGATGTGGGTAATAGGAGGGGAGACGTGGGAGGCGACGAGAGTGCGCCTCGATTTCGAGGCGAGCGCATAGGCGACGAGGTGGGTGACGGGAGGGGAGAAAGGAAGGGCGACGAGAGGGCGTTTCAGGGTGAGCGAGAATGTAACGAAGTGGGTGATGGGAGGGGAAACGGGGAGGGTACGCGAAGTGCGACGGGTAAAGGGGGGGCGAAGGTAATGGCGAGGGAAAGGCGACATGGGCTGACGGCGATGCGGAGGTTGACGATTGTGCTACTGGCGGGAAAAATAGCACTGCGCTACTAGGCTACGTAATACTAAATCACCTATTCATGCGAATAAACGCAGTCGTCGATAATTCCGTGCCTATGACACAAGCACATATGCTTTCCGCTATACTATGCGTGTGGAAAAAGACTACGGAGTAAGGGAGTAGAAATCAGGGAGTTATGAACCCAGGACCAGCTTGATATTGAAGTTGGCCTTGCGATGGAACACATCGCAAGGACGATGGAAACCATCGCCAGGGAACGGTCGTGCAAGTGCAGGTCGCAGAAATGTGAGCGGGAAAGTCCATTCTGGCGGGAGCGACAACATCCCATTTTGGCGAGAGCCAATCACATGAGCTCACTCTGCCCGCACGTTTTGTTTCAAGCAGTGTTTTGTCAGACTTGTTTCATTCTCTCTTCGCTTCAAAAAATATTGTCGCAACACCACTTTCAAGTTGGGACGGGGGTCACTATTTTGCATGCGGGCTTTAAAGTCTGAGTAAAATGATGTAATAGCGGAAGCGTTTGAATAAAGTCCTTGAACCACCTTGCGCTAGTATGTGAGGGCAAAGTGAGTTGATTAAAACAAAGGGATACAAGAATATATATATATATGAGTACAGAGAATATGAAGAGACATAATTGTAACTACTTTACTGTTGCGGTTCGATACAGTGCGACTCGGGCAACTGCTCAATGTCGAGTCAGTTGTGTGTCCTTGCTGTCGCGCTGCATTTGTCAAGTCAAAGGTCGCTGACCTTTGACTTTCTCGTAACCTCCAGCGGTTACATCAACTCCGAGGGTTGACTCACTGGTGCTTCGATTTGCGTTGCTTCGCTTGTGTCTTTGAAGTTTCGACACGACATAAGCGCTTAAGGCTATTTGTTCCCAACACTCCCCTTCGCTTCTGGAGTGTCGCTGATGGTGACGTGGCTTTGTCCAGTCAGCAGCATGCAGTACTCGAACTTCTGTTTTCCGAGCTTCTTGGTCAAGTAGTCGGCTGCCATCTCGGACGTGGGACAGTAGGATAGTTCGAGTTTCTCTTTCTCGATCTCGTCTTTCACAAAGAAATATCACAGAGCGATATGCTTCGTTCTGTTCGCGAATCCGCTTTTGTTGGCGATGCGAATCGCAGATTGGTTGTCGCAGAACAGAGTGAAGTTGGGTAACTCGGCTAACTTCGCTTCTTCCAGCAGCTCGCGAAGGTAGAGTCCTTCCTTGGTGGCTGAGCAGAGTGCGATATATTGTGCTTCAGCTGAGGAGAGAGCAATTAGTTCCTGCTTGCTCGATTGCCAGGAGATGGGTCCGATAGGTTCGAGGCGGTAGATGTAGCCAGTGCGGGAGCGCCTGTTGTTTGAGTCGCCGGCGTGATCGGCGTCGACGTAGCCGATTAGTTTCGTCGGTGTAGTTGTATTCTTATGGTATGTCAGACCGATCGTTGAGGTGCTTACGAAGTAGTGGAGTGCGCGGTCGAGCTCCGCCAGGTGTTCTGCTTCGGGTTTCTTGAGGTAGGTGGCGAGTTGACTTGCGGAGTAGGACAGATCTGGGCGGCAGGTGACGGCCGCAAAGAGAAGGCAGCCCAACTTTCTCTGGTAGTCGCGTATTCCGGCGGTTTTGAGTAGAGTGGGACTTCCCTTGTCGTTTCCTGCCGTGTAGCGGTATGGCGTGGAGATAGTAGTAGGTGTGAGTGCGAAGCGTTTGGCGATAGTGTCGGCATACTTTTCGGCGCTGAGATAGATCGCGTTCTCTTCTTCTCGGATGTTGAGTCCGAGGTACTGAGTGACGGTAGAGGAGACCGTGAGTGTGAGGTCCCTCTTCAGCTCTCCTTCGAACCAGGTGGTGACGTCGTCGGTGGAGCCAATGTAGAGTAGGTCGTCGACGTAGACGATCAGCAGGATATAGTCGGCGTTTTTGGTGAGTCGATACATTCCTTGGTCGTGAGGTAGTTGGCGGAATCCGATACGAGTGAGGCGAGTGTGTAGGTGCTGTTGCCACAGCCGCGGGGCTTGTTTGATTCCGTAGAGCGATTTTAGTAACTGACAGACTTGGTTAGGTTCCCCGTGGGTACCATGTGGAAGTTCGACGAAGATTTCGGCGTCGATGGGTGCGTAGAGGAAGGCGTTAGCGACGTCGATTTGCCGTAGTTTCCTTTTCTTCATGGCGGCGATCGCGAGGAGGATTCGGAGTGAAGTGTGTCGGCTAACCGGGGCAAATGTCTCGGTGAAGTCCCGTCCGTGTTCCTGATCGAATCCACGCACGACCCAGCGTGCTTTGAACTTCTCGATCGTGCCGTCTGCCTTTGTTTTGATGCGGAAGACCCATTTCCCGGTGAGGATGGTCTTGTTCCTTGCCACGCTTACGGGAACGACTTTCCAGGTGTTACGTTCCTCCAGCGCTTTTAATTCTCTGTCCATGGCTTCACGCCATTTCTCCCTGTGTTCCCCCCCCAGAGCCTGCTGAACCGTCGCAGGCTCTTTAGGAAGAGCGTTGCCGTGGACTGCGGTGACGAGGCCGAGAATCTGCAGTCCAGTCTGTGAGTAGCGGGGGAGTGCTGTGTCCTCGGGATAAGCTGCTTCATCTCCCGCTTCTGGGTCGGGTAT